CAGACAAGGGGGCCTGAGAGGGGTTTGCATCTGCTCACTCAGATGCACCCGACATCACCAGCTGCAGGGCAAGGAGAGAACCGGGTCTGGTGAACCTGCCAGCAAAACGACGGCAGCCAGATTTGCTGTAGGGCCCAAGTATTTCACTCCCATTTTCCAGTGCCCCCTCTGCACTGGTGCAACGTGAGTACAGACTGGTGCGAGGAAGGGGGCCTGAGAGGGGTTTGCATCTGCTCACTCAGATGCACCCGACATCACCAGCTGCAGGGCAAGGAGAGAACCGGGTCTGGTGAACCTGCCAGCAAAACGACGGCAGCCAGATTTGCTGTAGGGCCCAAGTATTTCACTCCCATTTTCCAGTGCCCCCTCTGCACTGGTGCAACGTGAGTACAGACTGGTGCGAGGCAGGCGGATGCTCATTGTAACGATGGTGCGTAACAGCCGCACACTTAGGATTACGGCACTTGATCGTTTGTGCACCCAGAGTGCATGACGCTGATTTTCTAAGACACAAAAGGGTTTTTCGGGGGGGCGAGAAGGGATTCCCAACCACTGCGACTGAAGCTGGGACGCAGGTACCGACGTGTCCAAGAGCAGCGACTGTTCGCCAGTAAACTGCCCGTCAGCACGTCACAGGCAGGGCTGCGGCCGCTGCATTGGTCCAGGATATTAGGCAAAGTGGGGTGAGGCAATAGCTTTTATTGTATCAACTTCTTGGCACTGCTCCCGTCCCCCCCACTCCCCCTCAGTCTCCAAGAGATACAAGGCAGGCGTGGAACGGGGAAGGTTAACCCGTAAGCCCAGGCTGATGGGGGAACCGTGTACACGGTTCCACTTCACATCCCTGATGGGAAGCGTGAAACGGGGCTGCTCTGTTGCGCAGCTCACTAGGGACAGCGCAAGGAGCGACAGTTTGAACGTGTGAATTACCGAAGGGCTTTCCGTGGAAATTCTCAGGCGCGTCGCTCCGCTCTGAGGGAATACCGTGTGTCTGAGGAGGGGATGCTGCCTTTTGAAGCCCGGCTTTGCGTGCAAAATGGAACCACCCTTTTACCTCAGTGCTCCACAGCTGGGGACTCTAGCCCCCCCGATTTGCTGCTCTCCCCCCTGCTCCCGTTTTCAGCTGTTGTGCTTAATGCTTCGCTTGTGCTGTGCGAGAGGCCTCGCTCCAGATCCCGGCCTCCCGGTGAATTGTATCCTGTCAGGGAGAGTGAATTCTCCATTGGTGAAATTCAGCCCCGGGCTGAACAAGACCTAGGCATCTTTCCAGACCCGACTTCAAACAGGGCTGCAGTGAAGTTTGGGGCTGATCCCAAACTGGGAGGGGTTGCAAGTGCTTTGAAGAGCAGGGTCAGAGTTCAATCTGATCTGGGCAAGCTGGAGAAATGGGCTGAGGCAAACAGGGTGAAGTTGAATAAGGACAAATGCAAAGTGCTCCACTTAGGGAGGAACAATCCGTTGCACACACAGAATGGGAAGTGACTATCTAGGACAGAAAGGGATCTAGGGGTTATAGTGGACCACAAGCTAATATGAGCCAACAGCGTGACGCAGTTGCAAAAAAAGCCAACATGATTCTGGGCGGCATGAACAGGAGTGTGGTGAGCAAGACACGAGAAATCGTTCTTCCACTCTGCTCTGTGTTGATTTAGGCCTCGGTTGGAGTCTTGTGTCCAGTTCTGGGCACCATGTTTTGGGAAAGCTGGGGAGAAATTGGAGAAGGTCCAGAGAAGAGCAACAAGAAAGATGAAAGGTCTGGAGAACGTGAACTAGAAGGGAAGACTGAAAGGACTGGGCTTGTTTAGTTTAGAATAGAGCAGACTGAGGGGGGACGTGATAGACATTTTCAAGTATCTAAAAGGGTGTCACAGGGAGGAGGGAGAAAAATTGTTCTTCTTGGCCTCCAAGGATAGGACAAGCAATGGGCTTAAATTGCAGCAAGGGAGGTTTAGGTTGGACACGAGGAAAAACTTCCTGTCAAGATGGTTAAACACTGGAATAAATTGCCTAGGGAGGTTGTGGAGTCTTCAGCACTGGAAACACTTAAGAGCAGGTTGGACAGACGCCTGTCAGGGATAATCTAGCTCAGTGTTTCTTAACCTTTTTAAAATGGAGGAAAACAATTTTTATGAGGAATACCTGCCCCTTTAAGGGTGGCCATTTTGAACTCTGTTGTTCTCTGTGGCACACCGGTGTACCCTGTGTGACGTAGTGGGGGTACCTGGCTGGTTTCTATGCTGCTGGCTCTGGGGTAACCCCCACTGGCTGCCGTGGGTACCACGACCCAGCAAAACAGGATGAGTCACTATGCAAACCAGTGGCCAAACACCCCCCATGGAGAGGAACAAAGGGAGGTGGATGCTGCCCTGGCTGGGGGCAGGGCTGGAAGAGGGTTAGTGAGTTCCTGGCTGGAAGGCAGGGAAGAAGGAGCTGGGGAGGGGGCTGGGACTCCCCTATCTCAAGGGGGGCACTGAGGCCTCTTAGCCCCAGTTCCTGTAACCAGATTACATCTGTGCTGCGCTGTGCTGGAGGAACAATAAACAACCTCCATTCTACTGGCTGGTGAAGTCTGTTCATGCCATTTCGGGGTGCAGGAGATGGGAAAACCCCGACGCGTCGTCACACCCTGCAACACAGTTCAAGAAACACTGATCTAGACGGAACTGGGTCCTGCTGTGGGGGACGGGACTTGATGACTTCTCCAGGCCCCTTCCAGTTCTAGGATTCTACGGTGAAGAATCCGCCCCTACGTGCATGCTCGCTTTGTACAGCTCTCCCTGCATCGCCTACTGCACCCTGCTCCCAAAGGGGGGAAGGCGCAGAGACTGCGCGGGTACCTGCCCTCTCACAGCGACTGCGTGGAAGGGGATCCAGACAACGACACACAGGAACCTCTGGCAGCTTGTTCCACGGGTGCAAGTGAAAATGCCTGCACTGTTCAGAACAGAGGGAGAGCGTCCGGAGAAGGCCGTGTCTGGTAGCCATATTGGAAGGCCCGTGGCCTAAGGCCCTTCTCTAGCCAGAGGGAAGGAGCAGCAGCCATTAGCTGAAAAGCAGGAAGTTGCATCCATCTAAAAGTGTCGCACCAGGCTGCTCAGAAGCCCTCTGTCCCCAGATAAAGAGCTTGCTCTCAAGGGGTGTGTCTAGACTACAGGGTTTTGCCGACAAAACGATCCCTGCGTCTACACTGCCGCTGAGTTCTGTCGACACAACGGCGACAGAACTCGGCAGTTTTGTCGACGGCAGTAAACCTCATTCTACGAGGAATAACGTCTCTTGCCGACAGCGTTCTGCCGACAGAAGGCGTTATCGCAGCTACACCGTCCTTTGCGTCTATGCTCTCACGTCGACAAAGCGGCTTGCTGTGTCGACAGAACTAGCTGTCGTCTAGATGCTCTTTGTCGACAGAAGCTTTGTCGATAGAAAACTTCTGTCGACAAAAGCCTGTCGTCTAGACATACTGATGGTGAAAGAAAACTTAGTTTGACAGCCAGGGGAGGCCTGTCCGTATAGGCCAACTAGGAGGTTGCCTAGGGCACCAAGTTAAATGGGGCGCCAAATATCATTGAAGGGTTTGGGGGGGGTGCCGATTGCATGGAGGGCACCAGGTGCTTGCAGCTAATCTAGGGCTGCCCCTGTTATGACAGCATCTCCCCTGGCAAGAAACTCCTTCTCAGTAGCTGGAGTTGGGAAATCCTCGTTGCTTTGTGATGGGCCTCACTTTCCTATGACTGGCCTGAACGCTGTCTGGTTTTTGATGGTTTCTATGGACTGTATAATGAACTTTGCTTGGTGTAAATCAATTGACAGGGTGAAGTATCACGGGTTAGGGAATTACGCAGCGTGTTAGGGTTGGTGAGTAAAATAATCAGTCGTGGTAGAGCTAAGCAGGACTCAAGTTTCACTCTATAAACTGGGGTCCACGAAGGAGACTAGCAAGACAGGAGGAGGAGGAAGAGACAGCAGAGGGAGGGAAGACCCGGCCCCCAAGACGCAGCATACGACTCCTCTGCACGACCGGGATGGGCAGCGACTGGACGAGACCGACCTGGCCTGGCCGCCTGTGAGCGGCTGGGGCAGTCTGTTTGTGCCATTTCAGGGTGCAGGAGACGGGGGACCCCCAACGCGCCGTCACAGCCTCACTTTCCTATGGCTGGCCTGAACACTGTCTGTTTTTTGATGGTTTCTATCGACTGTATAATTAACTTTGCTTGGTGTAAATCAATTGACAGGGTGAAGTATCACGGGTTAGGGAATTACGCAGCGTGTTAGGGTTGGTGAGTAAAATAATCAGTCGTGGTAGAGCTAAGCAGGACTCAAGTTTCACTCTATAAACTGGGGTCCACAAAGGAGACCAGCAAGACAGGAGGAGGAGGAAGAGACAGCAGAGGGAGGGAAGACCCGGCCCCCAAGACGCAGCATACGACTCCTCTGCACGACCGGGATGGGCAGCGACTGGACGAGACCGACCTGGCCTGGCCGCCTGTGAGGTAGTGTGGGCCACCTCTGCTGTCTGTAGCACGACCCAGCAGGGCAGGGGGTGAGTCATTATGCAAAGGGGGCTCCAAACCTGTCTGACCAGCTACCCCCCAGGGGGAGAAACAAAGGAACGTGGAATGCCGTCCCTGGCTGGGGGGCAGGGCTGGAGGTGAGGGGGTTAGTCTCTGTCTGGTATCATGGAGGAAGCAGCCTAAGCAACAGGCTGGGGTTTAGGAGCTAAGACCCCCCCCCATCTCAAGGGGGGCTGAGGCATCCTAGGCCTGCCCTGGAACCAGATGACATCTGCGCTGTGCTGTATCCTGGAGAAGCAATAAACTCCCTCTGTTCTACTGGCTGGTGGAGTCTGTTCGTGCCACTTTGGGGGTGCAGGAGACGGGGAAAACCCCTACGCATCGTCACACCACCAGGGGAAGTTCTGCTGCCTGGCTCAGGCTGGGGCTTTGGGTGCTTGGCACGTGCGGTCTGCTGGCCTGGGAATTGCTAACCCACAGAGAGTGAGGCCATTACTGTGGGAGGCTAGTTCAGTGGTGAAAGCTGCTGAGAGTTACGCCCTGAGCCCTCGGAATTGGCTGAGGGGGATTTCCATGAACAGGGTTGCACCTTGAGCCCTAGGGACGGGGAAAAGGGGGGGCGTACGGCATGGGAGTGACAGGGATTTTGGGGCGGGTACTGCAGAGAGAAGGAAGCCGCGTCCCTGGGCTGGCTGGGCTGTTAGTGTTGGCGGACGGGGCGTCCTTGCGTGCCAGAGAGCCACCAGAACTCAAAACAAGGCTAACGCCATTGCAGATCCAACCAACCGCCAGGCGACACCGCAAGGGGCGTGCCAGGCCTGCCGCGTTTGCCGTGTCGGGGAGGCCGGGCTGCCCTGACGTGCGTCCTGGACACGCGGTGGCTCTGTGAGGCCAGCCTCTCCTCCCATCCGTCCTCAGCGGGCAGCCGCCTCGTGAGGGCGGCAGAGGGTTTCCCACTGGCCCACGGTGCGGATGTCCCTGCTGTATTTGGAGCTCCAGTCCCGTTGGAACACAGCCTGGAGCTGCGCCTGCACCGTGGCCTGGCTCGGACCGCCAGCGGTCCCATACAGCCGCGCACAACGGGCGGGGAGAGGGCCCGTCAGTCTTACGAGGAAGGACGGACACAGGAGGGAGGGGGGTGGCTCGGCGGCAGGCTGGTCCTCCGGGGCCCACTCACCGGACAAA